TTTTGACAAAACCTAAGGCTACTAAGATATTTGTCCTCTGTTCTCTTCTGGATGTTCTTGTTTTAGCTTTACATTTCGGTCTGTGCTCCATTTTGAATTAGTTTTCATTTATGGTGGGTTCTTTTTTTTTTTCATATCATGTTCCTTTTTCTGTAGGGACTCAGCACCATTATAGGAAAGACTAAACTTTCCCCCACTAACTGAGATAGTATCTTTGTTGCTCATTCTGTGTGTGAATGGTTCTGCCTTTCCCTCCCCCATCTCTCTTTCCCTTTCTCTCTCTTTCTCTCTCTCTCTTTCTTTCTCTCTCCATCTCCTTTTCTCTCTCTCCCCCAGCTCCTCAATGGGAGCATCTGTGAGGTCCGCGATCATCTTCCATCTTAATCATTTATTTCACAACACTTTCAGGTAGTCATTTTGACCACAGGTATCCCTCCTCTTCCCGCTCCTTCTTGCCCTTCCCTTCCCATGGATATTGACAGCTCTTCCTTTCTTTTCCATTCCTTCTCCTCTTCTTTCTCAACCTCCTACTGCTAGCTGTTCTCATACCAGCTGGCACTACCCAGTCGCATAGGAGTCACCGAGTGTAATGAGGCCATGACAGCCTGTTAGAGGCTACCTCCTAAGACACAAACCCCAAGAATCTAAAAGACTCATCCCTGCTTGTACTACTGGCTCACTCTAGGAGCTGGATCTCTTAAGACAAGCTTTTCCTTTTCAAGATTCAAGGACAACCATTCCCATGGCATGTCTGTTATAAGGACTCACTTAGCACCTTTATAATAGTAATTACAGTGTGGTTAATAGACCACTGCATGCAACCTTGGAAACACTTTCAACTCCCAAGACAAAAGGTCTTGAGTTACTATTAGGAGGTGAAATTTCAAAAAGCAGAAAACAGGTCCCTTAGGATAAAAGAACAGAGAAAACATGTGAAAAAGGAGAGCGTGGCTTTCGAATACAATGGTAGATCCCTAACTGAAGGAAGGCAGGGTGGGTGGGGCGAATGGAACCAGGAGCCATCCTTCCTCTCACCTGCCCATTTCCCTGCCCTCCAGACATGGTGGCTTCCAGGGGGCAGTTTGACACCAAGAGCAAAAGAAGGCTACAGAAAGAACCTGAAGCCCACAACACAGAAAAGGATGGCAATTCCAGCATGACGCCTTGGAGGGGCATGTGGTTAACTTGTTTGTATCATTGGTCTCATGGCTTTTGTCTGTCAGTCTAGCTCTATGTTTTCATGTAAATGTATCTCAGTATATATCAACACATTTTTGCATCTCAAAATCTTTATGTAGTGAGTTAGTGTCTAGACTCCTGCACAGTGCGAAGAAGAGAAGGCATGATATCTTATTCCACAAGTGCATCCACAAGGCTTGGCTTGGTTTGCTATATGCTCCACCATCTTGAAAACAGCTACAGTATCTTACGGAGTTTTATGTATGGTGTCCTGCAGTGTTTACATCCAGATATGCTCTAAATTATATACCCAGATTCAGCCTAAAAATGGAGAGAAGGGCTTAAAACAAAAAGAATGCTATACTTTCCCTGAATAATGAAAAGTATTCTAAATACCACTTATAAGACATCAAACATGGATGGCTTAATTAGTCCCTTTACTTCTGCGAAACACTTATTAGGAACATGGGTGATAATAAGAAAGAACTACTTTTCTAAGTGAGATTTCTGTGAACAGTTAAATTATCAAACAGCCTGCTGACTTACAAAAACACTGCTTTGTGTAAATTTGACTAAGGGCTATTAAACTTTCCTAAGTGATCTACAGAAAAATAAAACATGTATTTAAATTTCCACCAATCAGAGGAGAGAGAGAGAGAGAGAGAGAGAGAGAGAGAGAGAGAGAAACTCCAAAGCCCAAACAACTGTGGAATATCATTTTTATGAGTTTTAAAAGAATATTTATAGCTTGAAAGAGAAAGGCTGGCAAAATAGAGAAAAATTAGGGAGGCAATTCTTTTCCTAGTTCAGGAAAATTATAGCTCTTGAAGACACTGTCTTATATAGACACTGAAAATTAGTTCCTGGTTGATGTATATTCACTATGCTCAGATGTGTAAAGACTCACGCCCCCTTTTATTTTGGAGAAGAGACACACATTTTTGCAGAAACTGAGGAGTAAGCATTAATAGTCTATGGATCCAAGGTTGGGAGTCTGCAAACTGCAGCCTGGAGTGTGGGATATGAACAGCCTGCCAGACCCCTACTCTTCTAAAAGTAATGTTTACAACTTCAAAGTGGTTGGGGGAAGAAGGCAAAAGAAGAATATTTCTTACATGTGAAATCCCATGAAATTTAAATTTCAACATCCACAATAAAGTTTTATTGGAACACAGCCACCTTTCTTTCTTTCTTTCTTTCCTTCCTTCCTTCCTTCCTTCCTTCCTTTAGTCTGTGACAATCCCTCTACCTTTCCTCTTCTTTTGTTTTGGTCTTTTTGAGACAGGGTCTCCCTGTGGCCCCAGCTGTCCTGGAACTCACTATGTAGACCAAGCTGGCCTTGAACTCACAGAGATCCGCCTGCCTCTGCCTCCCGAGTGCTGGGACTAAAGGCATGCACCACCACCCCAGCCCCACATTTATTTCTTTATATTTTGTTTGTGGCTCCTTTCCTGGCTTTGATGGAAGAGTTAAATGGATTTGACAGAAATTACACAACTGAAATACTAAAACATTTACTCGACCTGCCTTTCTACAAAAGATTTTGCTGACCTGAGATGGAAGCCACCCCCACACCCTTGGGGCATAAGGAAGGACACATACCTGGTTGAGATGGTGGAGGTATCTGTCGAGACACCAGAACCCACAGTAGCAGCATCTGAAGGCACCTCTCGACCACGTACTGTGCTGCAGAGTGGGAGACAACAGAGAGAAGGTAAGCCGCTGTTTCCCTCGGGACCCACGGTCTCCACGTGCAGACCCGTGTACCCAGGGGAAATCCTAGAGTAGCTCATCTGTACGGGAGCAGCTTTGCTAATTACTATCATTACTGATGAGCTAGCTTTCTCTCATGTCCTTTGCTGTTATAGTTCGGCTAACCTCAGCAGAAAGGGAAGTAGGTTAGCCCATATTTAATAACAAAGGAAAAGCAGGCTTATGATTCCCTTCCATTGTCATCTGCCTACCCTTAAGTCTATCCAATGGTACACATACTCACATACTTTTTTTTAGACAGGGTCTCATGTAGCCTAGGCTGGTCTCAAATTGACTATGTAGCTGAGGCTAGCCTTGAACTCCTGATTCTCTTGCTCCACGTCTCATCGTGTGAGCCACGATGCTTAGCTGCCCATTTTTTAATTTAAATTTTTGATTGATTTATTTTATTTTTAATAGTTATTTATTTTTATGTGTGTGAATGCTTTGCTTGCATGTATATAAGTGCACCCATGCTGTGCAGTGCCAGAAAGGGTCAGAAGGCTGTGTTGGGTTTCCTGGTACTAGAGTTCTGAACAGTTGTTAGCCACTATGTGGGTGCTGAGAACCGAACCAGGTCCTCTGCAAGAGCACTCAGTGTTCTTAACTGCTGAACCATCTCTTTAGCTCCTATTTTTGTTGTTGTTGTTTTTGTTTGTTTGTTTTTGAGACAGGGTCTCTCTGTTGCCCCAGCTGTCCTGGAACTTGCTATATGGACCAGGCTGGTCTCAATCTCACAGAGATCCACCTGCCTTTGCCTCCCCAGTGCTGGGATTAGTGTATACCACCATGCCAGGCTTTTTGTTGTTGTTTTGTAGCCCCTATTTTTATTTTTGAGATGAGGCCTTGTTGTATAACCCAGGCTAGCCTTGGCCTCCCAATTCTACCTCAGCCACCAGAGTGCTGAGGTAACAGGCGTGTGCTATACGCCCTGCACACTTTGCTTCTTGAATCTAAAGTTTATGTTTGTGAGGATTTTTTCTCCCCATACACAAGAAATCCAAACCATACATTGTGGATACTAGTCATGCACCCACAAGTTGAATGTTAGGAAAACTAAATCATATCATGAGGTTTTCAGATTAAATTTCAAAGGTTCAGTCTCCTGAAATATAACTTGAATCTGTGCCTAACTTAAGAATTAATAATTTAATGAGCCAGGTGTGGCGGCACACGCCTTTAATCCCAGCACTTCGGAGGCAGAGGCAGGCGGATCTCTGTGAGTTCAAGGCCAGCCTGGTCTACATAGTGAGTTCCAGGACAGCTGGAGCTACAGGGAGACCCTGTCTCAAAAAGATAAAAAAAAAAAAAAAAAAAAAAAAAAAAAAAAATTGAACGAAACATTTGGGGAGGGGTGCTGACCAGGACCTACCTACTACCGACAGTTAAAAAAATAAAAACAAAACCAGGGCTGGAGGACTGGCTCAGCGGGTAAAGGGGCTTGCTGCCAAGCCTCATTGACTTGAGCTGGATCCCCAGAACCCAAAGCCTCTTCCCCTAAATAAGAATATAATTTTTGTAAATTAAAAAAAAACAACCCTGAATGAAACAGCCAGAGAAGGGGTAGGTGACCATGTCCTACCTACCACCTAGAGTTAAAACAAAGCAACAACAAACCAGCCTCAATCAATTCTCAAATAGCTTACTCTTTCAACCCCTGAACAACTCAGCCTTATATGGCTAGTTCTTATCCCAGTGTTAATTCAATTGGATGAAATTTGACCTGGACAGTTTTTTAGCCTGGCAGCAGCTGTGAATAAGATCATCTAACAGGAAAGAGGGCACAGTGACTGTGAGAAACACTGACATTGTAGACACAGAACCAGATTGTAGGACTGCTGCAGGAGACCTTTCTACCTATGGAAGGATGTATTTTGCAACAGTGATATCACTAAGTGAGAGTTTGGCTGCCTTGCTCATTTTGGACTCTGGGGAGTGACAAATAATATTTTAGACCTGGGTCAGAGAGACCTTCATCATCCGTCAACTTCTGTTTTGGGTTTATGGAAGGTTGTTTTCCCAAAGAGTTTAAGATGCCTTGGTCAACAGCGGACAGTAAGCTCTCAGTTGCTCATGAATTACTAAGTCGTATGTGAAATAAATGAATTACATGCATTGGCAAATATATGAATTAGTAGCCAATATATAACTATATATATGTCTATAAAATATATATTAATAGAATATACACTCAGATGTATATTATATACAAAGTACTCACCTGACTATATTTAAAATAAAAAGCTATTTTGTTCGTCAAGAAACCCTTTTCTAGTTTTCCTAAGATTGAAGAATAAATTTCAAAGTACAGAATCAGTAGCTAGATTAGCCTTGGGTGAGGTAGATGCCTCTTTGAGGCATCAAAACATGGCCAGGCTAGACTTTAATAGAAATCACAGGAAAACATTCTACAATGGGGCAACTGCTCAGCATGCATTCTAAGAGAAGGAAGCCAGATAGTCTCATGTGCAAGTCAATCTATTGTTCTTTCCAAATTGCTATTCTAACCTTGAATCTTGATTATGGATTTTAAAATATCAACAATTTAGATATTTTTTTAAAAACAAACAAAAATATTTCTAAACTGGTAACATGAACAGAATATAAAACTTCCCCATTGACTAAGGGCTGGTCTCAGGTAGGTTTATGAAACTCAGACCAAGTCACAACCCCCTGAGGTGGGGATAGAGGCGGGAAGGGTTAGCACTGTGTGAGGACAGGGAAGTTGGGGCCCGTCCAGCCTTCCCTTGTGTAGCAGGCTAGAAATACCATGAGAACAGCTGTTTTCCTGGTATTCTAGTTTCCACTGGCATTCATAACTGAATGCCCATGGAAATAAAACCCGGGGAGGAGAAAACTCTCAGCACAAAAGCCCTACAGTTTTCTGTCCTTTGAGCTGAGATGTAGGTCAGCGAGTCCATTTCTCACTCTCAAGCACGCGCACATGCACACAAGCACACACACTCATTCTGACTCCCCTCCTGGCCTACACCAGTCACTTCCCATGGCACCCCCTAGGAAACACAGCGGGCAGGGAGTATGTTGGCACCAAACAGAAAGAAGGGCATGAGAAATAGGCATAGACTCTAGTTTAAATCGCAGCATCAGAATTCAAGCTATTTGTTCAGCACTTCTATCGGAAGGAAATCCAGCTAACTCTAAAGGACTCCCTCCCCAGCCACTTCTTCCCTGTTGGAGGAAACCCAACAAACGAGACCCTACACAAAGCACAGTTTGGAAACAGGGTGTGCTGGCAGGTGAAGATTGCCCCAGCAACACAGAAGTCTCGAATGGTGATGGGCACAGCACCATCGGCTTTCAGTCCCTGACTTGCCTTACCTTCTCTTTCAAAGTGTTATAAAGGTGTAGGAGAATGACTCTCGGGATCCTTGTTAAGGTGATTAAAAACGACCCTTTCACCATGGTTCCTTGATGGTAGAAGAAGAGTGTGGAGAGAGAGGAGAGGATTGGACGGGCTGGAGGGTCGTTTTTATTCCTGGGGACAGGGACAAAGAACATTTAAAACCCGCTATTTAAAACACGATAAAAAAAAAGTTCTCCTTGGTTGAGATCCCTCAAGGGCATTAACAACTTATAAAGCGGTGATGCAATAAGTACTTGGCAAGATTTTTATCCTCCTTGGTAGCCAAGGTTACTTTATATCTTGAACTGATTTGCTTCCTTTTGGTGGCATTCATGCACAAGCAAATACTGGTAGAAAAAGAAATGCAGACTTTGGGGCTGGAGAGATGGCTCAGAGGTTAAGAACACTGGTTGTTCTTGCAGAAGACCCGGGTTTGAATACCAGCACCAACATGGCCACTAACAACTCCAGTCCCAGGGGATCCAACAGCCTCTTCTGACCTCCATGGGCATTGCACGACACAGGTGCACTTACCTACATGCAGGCAATACACACATATACATAAAATAAAAATAATAAATAAAATTAGAAAGAAAAAAAGAAATGCAGAGTTAAAATGTCCAAGTTTCCTTTTATGGCACTTAGCCCTTCTCATTGCCCACTGATCTTATTTTTATTCGCAGAAGCTTAATTCTGTCACAGTGTTCGTAGTTTAAATGACACGGGAGCATGTATGTAATTATTGCCAGCATTAACCTGGTAATCAGAGTCATCATCAAGTCACATGACCAGGACCAGGGCCAGCAAGGTAACAGAATGCTCAGGTTCAAAGGGAAGGGACAGCAGAATGTGGGCTGTCTTGCTTCTGCACAACTCCAGGCTCCTGGAACCCAGCTGATTTCTTCTCCGTCCCTAAAGGTCATTTCAGTGTGAATCATTTATGAGACTTGTCATGACACAGCTCCCAAGAATGTGTTCAAGTCCGTTCACAGATGGAAAAAAGTGAAAAAAGAACAGAATGGGCACAGCCCTCCCTCTCCCCCAAACCTGAAAGATCTAACAAAGAAAGAGAGCTGATGTAACCCTCTGGTGACCGTCCGAATGTGACCTCTGAATTCCCACCGATGCCAGTTCTAGAAAAGGAGGCCATTTCCCAGAAGCAGCTTCATGGGTTCCAGCTGAAGCTTGTTTTCTTCAGAATAGATTACAACTTGCCTGGCTTGCTAATAAGTCACTATGAATTAAGGTTTTGACAACAGCCTGGGTTCTGAGGGAGGAGGAGGAGGAGGACCACAGCCAGCAATGCCTTAAGACCTGGCAAGGGCTGGATTTTGCTGTTACTTAAATCATCCAGGAAGAAAAAAGGAACCTGACAGCAAGTCAGGGGCAGAAGAACCACAACCTGGTTGCTTATCCGAAGGTGCTGTGTGTTTTAACTCATGCTATTTAAAGCAGGAGGGCTGGGGATGTTTCTTTTTTTTTTTTTAATTTAAATTTATTTTTAAGTGATACATAGACATAAAAACCATTAATACATATTTATAGAATTCCATATGATATGTTGATAC